TTTTTTTTCGTGTTGTGTATTTTTTTTTTTTTTTTTTTTTTTTTGGTACTGGGGATCGAACTGGGGTCCTTATGCTTGGGAGGCAGGCAGCGGAACCACTGAGCTGAATCCCAGCCTCTAGATTTTTATCTTTAATTTAGTGATCCTATACTAATCTGCTTTGGTACATGTGTAAAGTGTGTGAGAAATTAACAAACTATTTTTATGATTTTAGAAGTGGGAAATATGTGTACAAGCCTATCATGAATGAAACATGCTGTCCTCAATATACAATAAGGTAAGACTTTAAATAATACAAAGACGATCTGTAATGTGAAGATTATGTTCATTTTAGTGTTAATTTCTATTTTAGGTGGATATTCTTCATAAGAAAATACAAGAGTTTTCTGTATACGCATTCAATATTCATATGCTGATCAGATCAGTAGCTTTAAATAATACTATTTAATTGGTCCTGATATAAATATGACATAAAATATTGCTTTATTTGGCAGTCTAGTCAGTGAATGCTGTGAAATATTGGTAACTATTCGTATTACTTTTAGTTATCAAATTCTTATAGGACTTAGCAAGGATTTTCCATATCCTAGTGTATGATTTAACACAGTGCTTATAATGAAATTATACTCTTGTGTTCTCTAGTATGAGAAGGGCTTAAACCTAATCTGTCACATACATTCAGCATCCAGTTTTTTAAAATGAAAGATTTAGACTAAAGTCTCTTTTCCCATGAAATGTTTGCTTGATTTTCATAGTCTTTTGCATTTCCTTTGTACCTTCTCACCCTACCCTAATGTAGAATTTTTTCTCCTTTTCTAATTACAAAGATCATCACTTCTTGGCCTTTTGGCTAAGATCAAGTATAAAATCACAATTTTTTTATTTTGTGGAATCTATGGAAAATACATTAACATTTTGTATGTATATTCTAGATTAAAACAATAGGTCCCAATTGTATCTGTCACTGTTTTTGTCTGATAATTGCAGTTGCTTGTCTTAGTTGCTCTTAACTCCTTTTCTTTTTTGGGTACTGGGAATCGAACTTGGAACCTTGTGCTTACAAGGCAGGTGGCAGAACCACTGAGCTAAAGCCCTGGCTCTTAACTTTATTATTATTATTTTTTTTGTTTGTTTGTTTTAGGCAGGGTCTCACTGTGTAGTTGAGACTGACCTGGAACTCACTATGTAGCCTAGGCTGTTCTTGAACTCACAGGGATCCTCTGCCTTAACCTTCTGAGTGCTGGGATTACAGGTGTGTGGCACCATGCCCGGCACTCTTAACTTCTTTTTGAATTGCAGATCATTTCAAGAATTTGATGAAAACTAAAGCTGTTTTCTACTATTAAAAAAAAAGGGGAGGGCATGTAGACACAGATATGTAACAAACATATTAATTTTAGGATAATAAAGGGCTTCTAGTGGTCACTGATCCCTCATGAGGAGCCCTTTCTTTTACCTTCTTGGGCATAAGATTGACCCATAGTAAAGAAAAAAGTGAGTGGTTTGCTAACACCATGTCACTTATTACAGAAAGAGTACAATTACAGAATAGCTTTATTGTCCTTCAGCTTTTATGATTAAGAAGAGATATTATCCTCTGAGGCAGAAGTCATTTGTTTTTTAGATAGCAATTCATTGGATTATGGACAAGATTCTATTTAAGCCTGAAGTTGGTTGGCTGGAACTTTAAGATTTTTATAATCAAAGAACATTGATTTTATCTCTAGTGTGGTGATTCATGCCTGTAGTCTCAGCTACTTAGAAAGCTGAGACTGGAGGACTGAAATTTTGAGGCTAGACTGGGTTACTTAGTAAGACCCTCTCTTTAAAAAACAAAAAAAACAAAAAAAAAAAAGAAAGAAAAGAGATAGGGGCCTGGGGGCTGGAGCTTAGTGGCAGAGAAGTTTCCTAGAATTCACAAAACCTGGCTTTAATCTCTAGCACCGAGAAGGGGCTCATTTCAGTTGGCTAAGTAAAATGCATTATCTATCTGTTATATGTAAGCCACTTTTCCAGGTATATTGCTTTTTATGGGAGTCAAAGAACCTGCCCCCTTCCCACCTTACTTTTTGAATACAGACCCAGTGCTACTGCTTTGAGAGGCAATTTGAGTGGTCTCCAGCTCAGATGGGAGAGGGTAGATTCATGATGAAACCCATGACATTAATGAGAGCAGTGACACTGACATCCCTCCGCTTGTCCCACCCAGTGGCTTCATAGCCTTAGGTCTGAAGTGCTGCCATTATGACACATCATAGTTCCCACTTCTCAGCATTCTCTTCTTGTCGGGTGTCACCAGACAACCTCTGGAAAATCTCTTGCAGTGTTCCTTGCATGAAGGTGTTGCTGTTTTAGAAGATGTGACTGTGGGCATTGAGGGCACAGACTTCTCTGTACTGCTGCTCATGGTGGATTTGTAGCATGCTCTTGAGGGCAGCTTCAAGGATTCAGATTTGGTTGGCCCTGTCTCCCCTGTCTCCCCGTACCCTTTTTTTTTTGTTTTTTTGTTTTTTGGGACAGGGTCTCACTATGTAGTTGAGACTGACCTGCAATTCACTGTGTAGCTCAGGCTGGTCTCGAACTCACAGCGATCCTCCTGCCTCACCCTCCCGAGTGCTGGGATTACAGGTGTGTGCCACCATGTCCCATGTCCCCATACACTTTTTAATTTTTTGTTTTTTTGTTTTTTTTTTTTTTGGTACCAGGGATTGAACTCAGGTCCTTGTGCTTACAAGACAGGCACCGGAACAACTGAGCTAAATCCCCAGCCCCACCCACCCTTTTTTTGAGACAGAGTCTATAGTTTCATGTTGCCCTTGAATTCACTGTGTATCCTCAGGATGGCCTGGAACTCATGGCAATCCTCCCGCCTCAGCCTCTCAAGTGCTAAGTTTACTGGTGTGAGCCACCACACCCAGCCTCCTTGGCCCCTTTTTAAGACATGCAACTCAAGTTTTTCATTTTAGATCCCAGAGAGAACTGAAAGTACCCCAGTCTTCCCTCCTGCAGAAGATGTAAGCTTCTTGGTCTTTTTAGGATTTCTGAGGTCTTCCTTATTCTCTGTTGTCCATAATTTACTCTTTATCACTGGGGGGATGTTTGGAATCTAAAGGGGGAAAAGTCTGTCCCTTCACTCTTTTTTGGTACCAGGGATCTAACTCGGGTCCTTGTGCTTTCGAGGCAGGTGGTAGAACCACTGAGCCAAATCCCCGGCCCCCCTTCACTCTTAATAGAAAAGTAACTTCTGGATTAGTTTGCTTTACCATTATCAAGTACAAGATTTTTAAAAACTCAAATAAAATGTAAGATCTTGTTGCTTTTCCTCCAGTTAGAAACAGTCACATTGTTTTTCTTCTTAATTTTTTCAAATCATGACACCATTGAATCAAGAGAGAAAGCCTAGGTGATGGATAAAGTTCACAGCACAATTCAACCAGCTGTGGTTTGTAGGTGCACTGGGGCCTCCGGGGTAGCCCTTCATCCTTTGGGTCCAGCGGCAATGAGACATCCTCTCCCTGCCCTGGGGGAATAGCTTGCTATGGTGCTGCCTGCAAGGGACTGCCTGGACCTGCTGGCTACTACCTGGGTGGAGCATAGCTTTCTTCCTTCCCTTGCTCCCTCCTTCTATTCCTCTTTACCTTCTCCTTTACCTCCCTTCCTACTTAGCTGTCTCTCACTACTGTTTCCCCTGTTGTATTCAGGTTCCTTTTTGGCCTCATCTCCAACTTCCCATCTTAGAAATACTATGATTTTCTTTTTCTTTCTTTTTTTTTTTTTTTTTTTTT